AACCCTAACAAAAGCACAGTCCACATCGTACGCCTACGTACCTAAAAAACTTCAACCAATAAAAACGGCAAGAAACGAAGCAAACAACCCCATTGGTCACTCACTTGAAGTTCACGTGCAAAACAGAGATTGCGCCAAAAGTCAAGTGAGCCACTTTTGGAATTTCGAATGATATAAAAATAAACGTATACAGCCCCAGACAGTCAGTCTCACGAATTCGCAAAGTACTTTCTAATATACTCCACGCCACTACGAATCACAATTTTGCCGCACACGAAGATACATCGCTGACTCATATTCGATCATTCATTAATCAACTCTGTGAACACTTTTCTCAACTTTGCTTATGTACAGTGAATTAAATTCACTACTTTAAAATAAGTAAACATCAACGAACATACAACATTACGAAAACACCAACTACGTTTAAGGGTAGATCACTCTAAAAAACTCTTTTCAAAAGACACTTATAATTCACAATTACAATTATTGACACAAACAAAAAGACAGCGAATCAACGAACAATCAACAAAGAGACATTCACAAATCTAACAATTACATACACATTTCGCCCACACGACACACACTGATTATCCAATCTGTATATTGTTAAATTGTATATAAATGTTGCATTGATTTCTAAATTGCATATGTCTCGTTTTCAATTGCATTTTTGAATTTCATTTATTTATTGAAAATTCCTTCTGATTCTTTCTTAAATAATTAACAACTCTGCACGTCCCCAACAAAGTAATTTTAAACGTTCTTTCTCAAGAGATAGTTTGAAGTGTGCTCTAATCGGAAATATAAGCATATTATATCTGTCGATAAATTTGACGTGTTGGAATATGAACGACTAAAAATCGACATGAAGTTTTCGGGCCCAATACCAGTTCTTTAAAAATTTGGGGGTAGCAAAACACCACAAAGTTTCCTGGTTCATTTCAACATCAACTTCTATTTTATTGTAATTTTCAATATATAAGGTAAAAAAGAACACCCTTCTTTTTATCAATCAAAATAATTCAAGTGAGTGAAGATTGTAAGCTTGTAGGTTCCACTATTGACATTGGTATGTGTAGAAGTTTCCAGTAACTTCTTTGATAAGTGCACATGGAACACCAAATATAGAAAACTGGCTTAATATAAAAACATTGCTGGAAACTTTAATATGCCTAATTTATTTTGTACAAATTATATTTCAGTAGAAAACTGAGTTTCAAGTTTTTTTAATCGTGTTTACCTCATGCAAGAGGTTACTGGGTGTAGAAGAGTTAGAAACATTTCTAAGGAGCGAGAAAAAAAGAAGATTAATCAGGAGAATAGTAGATAGCAATTTACATTGCATTTAAATTTTTGCACAAGCAAGAAGCAAGACAAAAGAAACTGTTAACATAGAATTTACGGTTACATCTCGCTAAACTCAACAGTAAATTGCTGAAACCTTGTCGCCAGTCTCGTACTGCACTTAAATTCAAAGTCTAGGCACTATTATGATGATCTCATCTGAAAAATTTCCATGAAAGTATTTATAGAAAAGGCACAGGGAGGTAACCTTATGGCAGTGGGAAAGAAACTGAAGCTGAAATGTCAGAACAGGGCCAATAATATTGCTGATTCTTCTTTGGAATTTTGTCAAGGTGCTCCAGATAAATAGTAGGAGCACTGGACCATATGTGGCAGTAATATTCTAAGCATGGATGAATGGTAAACTTATAGATATGTAACATAGATTCTGAAGAGAAATATTGTTTAGCACAACACAGTAAACCAACTTTCCTTTGAGCAGTTGATTATATAAGCATTCTACTTCATATCAAAGAAAATGTTAGCCTGAGAAGGAAAAGTAACTCTCCTGGAGGTTAGCATCAGCCATGATAATAGAAAGGCTAAAAAGGTTCTCTCAAACAATTAAAAGAGAGCAGTTTTATTAACAAGTCGTTTCTTTCCCCAATTAACAATAGATGGTAGGTCATTATTGGTATCAGCCACCAATTTGATTTTATCGAACCGATCAAACTTAGCAATTAAGACAAGATTAAATATTTCTGTGATAAGCATACCAAGTTAAGTACTTATGAAATCAAGAAGGTTGTTATGTGAAAATTAAGAACAATGTAGGTTCATAGTCCTGTGGGATGTGCCTGTATTAATGTAAAAAGATCTAGAAGCGTGGTCATTTAACATAATTTTCATCTCGTGATTTTCTAATGATTTACTTGTGACAGTGGGGCCTCAGAGATTTAATCAGAAGAAAGAAAAATGAGGGGGAAAGAAAAATGAAGGGGAAAGAATAAAAGAAGGGGAAAGAAAATTGAGGGGGAAAAAAAAATGAAGGGGAAAGAAAATTGAGGGGGAAAGAAAAAATGAAGGGAACAGAAAAATGACGGGGAAAGAATAAATGAAGTGGAAAGTAAATTGAGGGGGAAAGAATAAATGAAGTGGAAAGTAAAAGGAGTTGGAAAGAATAAATGAAGTGGAAAGAATAATGATAGGGAAAGAATAAATGAAGTGGATGGAAAAATGAGTGGAAAAAATGAATGAAGGGGAAAGAAAATTGAGGGGGAAAGAAAAAATGAAGGGAACAGAAAAATGCGGTGGAAAGAAAAAAATGAAGGGGAAAGAAAATTGAGGGGGAAAGAATAAATGAAGTGGAAAGTAAAATGAGAGTGAAAGAATAAATGAAGGGGAAAGAAAATTGAGGAGGAAAGAAAAAATGAAGGGGAAAGAAAATTGAGGGGGAAAGAAAAATGAAGGGGAAAGAAAATTGAGGGGGAAAGAAAACATGAAGGGAACAGAAAAATGAGGGGGAAAGAAAATATGAAGTGGAAAGTAAATTGAGGGGGAAAGAATAAATGAAGTGGAAAGTAAAATGAGGGTGAAAGAATAAATGAAGGGGAAAGAAAATTGAGGGGGAAAGAAAAAATGAAGGGGAAAGAAAATTAAGGGGGAAAGAAAAGATGAAGGGGAAAGAAAAATGAGGGGGAAAGAAAAATGAGGGGGAAAGAATAAATCAAGGGAAAGAAAATTGACGGGGAAAGGAAAAATGAAGGGAACAGAAAAATGAGGGGGAAAGAAAAAATGAAGGGGAAAGAAAATTGAGGGGGAAAGAATAAATGAAGTGGAAAGTAAAATGAGGGTGAAAGAATAAATGAAGTGAAGGAAAAATGAGGAAGAAAGAAAAATGAGGAGGAAAGAAAAATGAGGGGGAAAGAATAAATGAAAGGGGAAAGAAAAATGAGGGTGAAAGAATAAATGAAGTGGAAAGAAAATTGAGGGGGAAAGAATAAATGAAGGGAAAAGAAAATAAGGGGGGAAAGAATAAATGAGGGGTAAGAAAATGAGGGGGAAAGAGTAAATAAGGGGGGGAAGGATGGGGAAAGAAAAATGAGGGGCAAAGAATAAATGAAGGAGAAAGAAAAATGAGGGGGAAAGAAAAATGAGGGGGAAAGAATAAATGAAGGGAACAGAAAAATGAGGGGGAAAGAAAAAATTAAAGGGGAAAGAAAATTGAGGGGGAAAGAATAAATGAAGGGGGATAAAAATGAGGGGTAAAGAATAAATGAAGGGGAAGGAAAAATGAGGGAGAAAGAAAAAATGGGGAAAGAAAAATCAGGGGAAACAATAAATGAGGGGAAAAGAAAAATGGGGGAAAAGAATAAATGAAGTGGAAATAAAAATGAGGCGGGAAGAAAGATGAATGGGAAAAGAAAATGAAGGGGAAAGAATAAATGAATGGAAAGAAAAATGAAAGGAAAAGAAAAATGAGGGGGGGGAAATGAAGCGGAAAAAAGGGGGAAAGATTAAATGAAGTGTAAGAAAAATGAGGTGGAAAGAAAAAGGAAGGGGAAAGAAAAATGAGTTGGAAAGAATGAATGAACTGGAAAGAATAATGATAGGGAAAGAATAAATGAAGTGGATGGAAAAATGAGGGAAAAAATAAATGGAGTGGAAAGAAAAATGAGGGGGAAAGAAAAATGAGGGGGAAAGAATAAATGAAGTGGAAAGAAAAATGAGGGGAAAAAGAATAAATGAAGGCAAAAGAAAAATGGGGTGGGAAGAATAAATGATGGGGAAAGAAAATTGAGGGGGAAAGAAAAAATGAAGGGGAAAGAAAATTGAGGGGGAAAGAAAACATGAAGGGAACAGAAAAATTAGGGGGGATTAAAAATGAAGTGGAAAGAAAAATGAGGCGGAAAGAAAAAATGAAGGGGAAAGAAAATTGAGGGGGAAAGAAAAAATGAAGGGGAAAGAAAAATGAGGGTGAAAGAATAAATGAAGGGGAAAGAAAATTGAGGGGGAAAGACAAAATGAAGGGAATAGAAAAATGAGGGGGTAAGAAAAAATGATGGGGAAAGAAAATTGAGGGGGAAAGAAAAAATGAAGGGAATAGAAAAATGAGGCGGAAAGAAAAAATGAAGGGGAAAGAATAAATGAAGTGGAAAGAAAAATGTGGCGCGAATAAAGTTGAAGGGGAAGGGAAAATGATGGGGAAAGAATAAATGAAGGGGAAAGAAAAATGAGGGTGAAAGATTAAATGAAGTGGAAAGAAAATTGAGGGGGAAAGAATAAATGAAGTGGAAAGTAAAATGAGGGTGAAAGAATAAATGAAGGGGAAAGAAAATTGAGGAGGAAAGAAAAAATGAAGGTGAAAGAAAATTGAGGGGGAAATAAAAAAAATGAAGGGGAAAGAAAATTGAGGGGGAAAGAAAAAATGAAGGGAATAGAAAAATGAGGGGGAAATTAAAAATGAAGGAGAAAGAAAATTGAGGGGGAAAGAATAAATGAAGGGGGATAAAAATGAGGGGGAAAGAATAAATGAAGTGGAAAGAAAATTGAGGGAAAAAGAATAAATGAAGGGGGATAGAAATGAGGGGTAAAGAATAAATGTGGGGGAAATAAAAATGAGGGGGAAACAATAAATGAGGGGGAAAGAAAAATGTTGGGGAAAGAATAAATGAAGTGGAAATAAAAATGAGGCGGGAATGGGAAAAGAAAAATTAAGGGGAAAGAATAAATGAAGTGGAAAAAAAAAATGAAAGGAAAAGAAAAATGAGGGGGGGAAATGAAGCGGAAAAAAAGGAGGGGAAAAGATTAAATGAAGTGTAAGAAAAATGAGGTGGAAAGAAAAATGAAGGGGAAAGAAAAATGAGTGGGAAAGAATAAATGAAGTGGAAAGAAAAATGAGTTGGAAAGAATAAATGAAGTGGAAAGAATAATGTTAGGGAAAGAATAAATGAAGTGGATGGAAAAATGAGGGGAAAAAATAAATGAAGTGGAAAAAAAAATGAGGGGGAAAGAAAAAATGAAGATGTAATAAAAATGAGAGGGAAAGAAAAATGTAGGGGAAAGAAAAATGAGTGGGAAAGTATAAATGAAGTGGATAGAATAATGAGGGGGAAAGAATAAATGAAGTGGATAGAAAAATGAGTGGGAAAGAAAAATGATGGGGAAAGAATAAATGAAGTGTATAGAAAAATGAGGGGGAAAGAAAAATGAGGGGGAAAGAATAAATGAAGTGGATAGAAAATGAGGGGAAAGAAAAATGAGTGGGAAAGAAAAATGAGGGGGGAAAATGAAGCAGAAAGTAAAATGAGGGGGGGGAATAAAGCGGAAAGAAAAATGAGGGTGATAGAATAAATGAAGTGTAAGAAAAATGAGAGGGAAAGAAATATGAATGGGAAAGAAAAATGAGTGGGAAAGAATAAATGTAGTGGAAAGAAAAATGAGGTGGAAAGAATAAATGGAGGGGAAAGAGAAATGAGTGGAAATGAATAAATGAAGTGGAAAGAAAAATGAGTGGGAATGAATAAATGACGGTGAAAGAGAGTACAAACTGTATGATAATTGTTGAAACTCTGAAGAAAAGGGATTGAAAATTGAGAAAAAAAAATTTTGTGATGTGAACGAATACTCGTTTGCCCTTTCATAATGTTCGTTGTAGTAGGGACATTCACGGATTTTATTATTCTTTTTTTTAACGAAGACTGTTGATGATTCCCATTCAAAATAGTCTATTTTTGAGATGACATCTAATTTTTATAGTCCGTCCAATTCACTATTAATTGGATCTAATACTGCAAAAGGTACACTTTTTTTTAGCTTAAATGTCGGTGTTACATCCTCATTTAACTCAAACTTAGCTTTTGCTTTCATGCATGTCCCTAAACCTTCTGAGAAAACTTCTGGAAAACTCTTTTTTCAGTTCATTTTTAAATTTTTTCGGTCGCCGTGTTAGTACTGGGGGTAACAACATTTATCTTGTTGCAAAAAGAGTTAATTGGAAGGTCCCAAAGATCAAACAATGCAATCCAGTCTGTTCCAAACAAATTAGCAGTATTCTTTAATACAAACTGTTTGTAACAAACACCACTGCTTTTTTGGTTTTTCCAACAAAAGAAACTTTATAGCTGAATTAACACAAAAAGTTCAACCTTATACCTGAGACTCAATACGCAACTTTATCAGAATTTTATAATTTGGAATCCTTTTCTAATTAAGCAAGTATCTTGGATCTTATCCCTGCGTCCTTATTAGAAGTTAAACCCTGTACAAATATCAGGTATTTAAATAAATCAGGAGTTAATTCATTTAACTTGAATTTTTCATATATTCATTATAAAAAAAAAGCGTTAAAAATTATGTTTTAAAATAATAAAATGAAATCAAGAACGGTTCCAAGGAGAACCAAACTCAAATTTAACTAGACAGAATTCCATAAGATTGAGCAAAACCAAAATTACCAGTCCTTCCTCCCCTTCCCGCCGATAAGAAAAAGACAATGTATAATCAAAGATGTCGGTCCTGGAAAATAGAAAAACATGTTGTTAGTAGAGAAAACGGGTGGTCACCTAAATTACGTCTAAATACATTAAATATTTCTTTACTGAAGTCATTGAAATGTCTTCGAATTTTAATATTCTAAAATTTTGTAAATAAAGAATTCTCAAAAAAGTTGTGCTTTTGTCAGAAGAAAGTTGAAAATAATAGTTTTAATAATAGTAGATAAAGATAGAATATAAAAGTTTGGTAACACCTCTGGACGGGGTAGCGACTTGGACCAAAGTGTGAATTCCTAACCTTTTATCAGAGAATCGAACATTGAGTTAATTTCAGGTATGTGCGAATTGCAATTTCCAACGTGTCTCTCCTGATGATTCTCTCGGCTGCTTCTCACCTCTGTTTGCCCAAATGCTGCATAAGCACCCATATACCCATGCATTTTCTCACCCTCCTTTGATTGCAAGAAGGGTGAAAAAGAGTCATTTTCTCTGGTTTGCTTTTAATTTATCCAAAGTTATCACCAAACTTCAATGCCATTTGTATTCAAAATAACAACCTTTTATATTTGTCTGATAAGACTTTTTAGACGAACATAGACAAAAAAACAAATGTTGCCACCTTCCCAAATCTGCAGTCCTTTCAACAACAAATCTTTTCACAATCAAATTTCCTGAAAAGATTTCAGTTGACCAAAAGAATAAAAGAACTTTAATTTGAATATTCATTCCCAAAAAAAAAAAAAAAAAAAAAAAAATAGTACAAATCAAGTAACTTGCCAGTAGCAGAGATTTATAAAAAATACACCTCATGTGAAATATACGTGTATTTCACATGAGAAAACTATTGATTGAACATTGCAAAAGAAAAAAAAACACTAATTCATTACTCAATTTTCTGCAAGTAATATCATTTATCAAATTCTCTATTCTTCAAATGCAGAAAATATCCAATGATTGAAGGAAGAAAAAAATCCCTAATCCTCAGTCTAAGCCTTGAAATTAACATTTCCCAATCCCATAAACCAATGTCATTCATTCTTTTTTCTATGAAGAGAAACTTTTTACACGCCACAAACAAGTGAAGTGTGAGTGCGTGTGTGGTAAAATATTTCCGTTAAGGAGGCTTGCTTAATTATATGTAATTAAAACATTAAAACATTAATTATATACATATGTAATTAAAATATTTCTGTCGCTATATACTTTAAGAAACTGTTAGTTTCTTTAAAAAAAAATTATGATTTGTTTTTGGACAAAACTAAAAGTTAAAAAATCCTAGAAAAAAAACTGTTTTAATTTTCTAAAATTTAACTTTTTTGTCCCAAAACAATCATGATTTTTTTCTGTTGGTCATTTTAAAATTTGACCTCTGCTTGTTTAATCCAACGATTTATTGCATAAAATATACAATTATAGCACAAGGCCAAAAGGGGACGTAGGTTGAGGTTGGTCGTCATTGCTATCCTAAGTAATCCGATTCACGACCCATTCACCAAATGCAAGGGACTTAACTCTTTTTGAGGAACTCTTCTCCCCAAGAAAAACAAGAAAAGTTTTGTTTTTTGGTAAAATGGAAGGCAAGGATAATTTTTCAGAAGGCGAATGGGAAGAAGTAAGTTTTGTTTAGTTTTATTTTATTTGGAATGTCCAGACACAATTACAATGTAAAGTGTCAAATATTTACTTTTGAAAAAGTAAACTACACTAAGTTATTCTTCATTTATTTCCAGAAATTACACAACTTAGCTTGATCTTCGTTTATCTGTCTCCAATATTGTGATTTTCATTTTGCGCTTCGATGTGACACAAGGCCCAAACTATGGGGGCTCCCAATGAGGATCGAACTCATTACTCAGTCGTAATTGATCGAGCGAGACAAACTTGCTAACCATTACACCACATTGAAATACGCTTGCTTGAGGCTTTGACATCAACGTTCCAATTTTTCAATATTCACATATTTTCTCTGTTGTCTTTTTTTTTTTTTTTTGGATGCATTAAGCTCGTACGAGATTCGAACTCGTTTCCGTTATCTTTAGAAATATTCATGAACGATGACCAACGTTAACAGGTCGAGTTCAACTCTCTAAGCCTATTGCCTTTTTAAAGTAGCTATCTCCACTACTAATTCGTTGAAAAAAGAGCAGACCATGGTGAATAAATGCCCCAAACAAAGTTTTATCGTCAAAATCACTGTTATTATTAAAAAGAGGAAAGAAAAAGCAAAGTATTTTTTAGATTATTTAATTTTTTTATCGTTTTTAGAAGGTTCGAAATTTTGATTAAAAGTTTTGTTTTTCTTAAACCTCAGCGGATGGGCTATTATTAGCATAGAAAATTTTGATGCTATTACGTACGCTTTCGCACCCACCATTGCTTCCTGTTATTCAGCAATGCGTTGCCCCCAGGTACGGCAACATGGAAACAGTTCTGTTTGTTATTGTTAATTATAATATTTAAATTAAAATATGAATCTCGAGAAACAAAATCAATGTTTGTAAAACCCTAACCAACGGAGGGGGGTGCGAAAGTGTAATAGCGCCAAAATTTTTAGTGTGCGAAAAACCTTTGGAAATTCTTTCAAAAATTAAATAATTGTTGAATTTTAATGAAGCTTTCAGAATTTATTTCCAAATGAATTAAATTTATTTACAATTTTTTTTTTTTAAATCATGGTAAAAATATATATATTTTTTTTTTTTACGCCTTTTACCTACCACTTATTTAATTTTATCAAAATTTGAGAAATTCAGTGCTGTAACACTTCAAGGTTTATATTAATTAAAAGTGGAACTCCTTGGAGAATAAATCCTAAAATCCTTTCAGTCAAACAGAACCCCCAGTTACAGAAAATCTGCTCTGAATTATAAAATAAAAAAAATGAAATGAAACTAAGGCATTATTTAATTAGAAAAGCTTTTAATTGCTTTTATGAATAAGATGTATTTAAGCACATTATATTGTCATGAGAAAATTTTCAATGAATAATAAATTTTTACAAGAATTGTTTTCATTCTTTTTAAATTTTAATTAGAATAATTTATAAAGTTTTAAATCATTTAAAATTCTATTTTAATGGTGTAAGAGTTAGGTAATATTGTTATTAAGTAAAAATTATATTTACTAATCATAAATTGAAAAGCTTATTGCAATTAAAATGATGCCCAGTATTTTAAAGAGAATTTTGAATTTTTTTGTCTGTGTATAGACATGCCAATTGTTGTATATATGGATGTCCATACACAACATTATCAGAAAATAAGTGATAACTATAGTAAATTTACAGCCAAACTATATAAAATTAAAATAAACATTAGATATTAGATTTTCCTAAATTTTTAACATACTGAGTACTTAAAAATTAAAAGGCATCCACATTATATTCTTCAATTATTTTTTACAGCTATATCCACCATAGAAAAACATTAGATAAACGTCCATCTGTCATTCAAGCTGTAATATGTCACCTTAGATAAACAGCTACCACTATATTAAAAATGCATTTCTGTGATATTTTAAACTTAAAGTAATATTTGTTTCAAATCAGATTAATTAAACTTTAATTCAGCTAATATTCTTCAAATAAAATTTCAGTAAAGTATGTTTTATTTTTGGAAGAGTTTTTAATAAAGAGAATTATATTGTGATGAATGATGGCTAAAAATGCTACTAAAACATTTCTTTTTAGCAAAAGTAAAATGTTTCCAATTTAAATTAGTTTTGAAATTACAGCAATTTATTTCCCTTATAGAAAATATTAAATTTATCTTTTAGCTTAAAATTAAAACTAAAATAAAAGCTTCAAGAAAGCTTTTTCATTTTTTAAAAATTTATTTTAAACCTTAGGTAGCACAAATCTGTGGAGGTACCTACATTTAAGGCTTTTGTTATGCGATGGAGTGTAGTTAAATATCTGGAACAAGTTACTTGGTCCTTTGTAACATAAAATGGTAACAGAGGAAAATGAATTATGAAGAAAAAGGAATTGCAAAAATAAATTGTGTAAAGAAACTCATACAACTGAAAACACAAACAGGGTTCAGTTGAAATAGACATTATTTTTTATATATATCTTTTTGTTAATAATTAGCTTACCATTACAATTATATTGTATTAATATTAAAATCTTTTTGTAGGTGTAGCATATTAAAAATGTTCTTAGTGTATATTTTTTTTATAAAGCGGTAAGTTATGTAATTGTCATGGAAGTTTGAGAAATGATTTTTGAGGTCCAATTGTGTACACATCTTGTTCTGCAAATCTTATGTGCCAGAAAGACTAGATTCTGGCTCCACATGGGTGTTTGTTTTTTTGTTTTTTTTTGTTTTTTTTTTTAATAAAGCTGTGAAGAGTTATTTTTAGAAATTGGGTCTTGGAAAAGCCAATTCCATTTTAAGAAAAGTTTTTACTATAATGTTCACTGTCTACAAGGTCCAAGAGCCACTCAAGGTAGAGGGTTACAGAATATGAGGGACAGTTTGTGCAATTATGTGGGGAATATAACCCTAGACTTGAACAAGATTGTCGGTTCCACAAAGTAGTGGTTTGTGGGAAGAATCTGTTTGTGTGGAACTTAATCTCACCATTGAAATATGAAGGTAATGAGGGTGGTTCACTACAATGTCTGAAGCACGGTGGTTCTTAGCTGTGATGGTTAGAACAGGTTGAACTAAGGAATGTAGTTCATCAGAACACTTTCAATGGAAAAAGCAATGGAGAAGCAATGTTTAGTCTGTGGGAAAGGGGTTGAAGGTATAAAATAATTCATCACCCACAAGGCTTCACAGATACTTTTGATATCGCTGAAGACTAGGCAGCTCCTGCCCATATATGGCAGCAGTACCTCCATTTTTGGCCTGATTGACTCTTGTAAAGGTCAATGATAACAGGAGAAGTCAGGTATTTACTGGAGTGGTACAGGAAAACCAACCATTTTTCCAGCATCTTCAACAATAAACATCATTTAGCAACCATGACACATTCTTATCATCCTGATATTCTATTGTTGCTGTTGACAGTAATCTATATTACAAAAGAGTTGATTCTCTGTCCATCATGCACCGTCTGCATTTGACTTTACGTGCTTGTATGTAATGTATATGCATATTTCTGTGTTGTGTATGAGTCTCTTGTGTCATTTAATATACACAAGCACAAACATACAATTTGAAATAAGATATTGGAATAACATTTCTATAAGATTGTTAAAGTAAAAAATAGTGAAATTAATTCAAAAGTGTCATATTTTATTAAATGACATTGAATTTTTTCATTTCATGTTTCATGTCTAGATAAGAAGGAAAGAAAATAGGAAAATAACTTCTACATTCATAGGCTTAACTAGAAATCCTTTAATTCAAAGAAACTATGAAGTGTAGGTAAAAATTTCCAGAATTTATTTGTTTTTTTTTGGTGTATTAAGTCTCACGTGGAAAAACGT